ATATATATATATATATATATATATACACACAATGCTGAATGCTGAGATGTATTTACTTAGTTCTCAATGAAGCAAGAGTAGTGGGTTTGACTCAAAATTACCTTTTTGAAAACCTAAAAACTGCACTTAATTAATTACATTTATTTTGAGCTAGAATTAAGTGTTGTTTTTTTATGTAGCAATTTAATGGAAGAAATAATATGGTCTCATATTATTTTCTGCTTTATTTACCAAAGCAGTAGATTATATACACAAGTGATGTTACTTATGCTAAATGTAACATTTACGTTACTGGCTTCACCTAGATAATGGTACAACAGTTTTCCACTCTTGTGGAGTACATTCCATGGTGAACAAAGTGATTATTGCGAAGAAACATTGTACAAATATTAGGTACAAGTCCAGGGCTTAAAAACAAATATTTTGATCTGACTAAACAAAATATTCACCCAAATAAAATGTGGGTCAGACATGTCCAGTAACTTAGCATCACTACTTAAATGATGTCTTGTAGTGGGCTCTGTAATTAGCTTGAATTTTTTTTCCTCACTACACAAAATGTTTGAATGCTTGGCTGTTCACTGGTGCAATATATATGTTAAGACAAATTCATCAGGCTTTACCATGGTAAGTTCTTTTGATATTCCAGTGCAGGAGATGTCTTATCAGTCAAGATAAATGTTATGTGTTGAATTAAGTCAATGCTTCTGGTAGATAATGAAATGCTTTTTAACCTATTTGTAACTTAGCCAGAAGCCAATTAAATTATATTAGTTTTGGAGATTATATTCTAGTTCCTAATATATTTTTGTGTTCAGATAATGCATATTTGAAAGCATCATAAATTATTTTGTGGACAACCAACATAGCGTGAAAAGAGTAGTGTTATCGAAGTACATATAAGTAGGCTTATAGCCAAGATACGGGGTAAATTTCTTGTTTTTTTATGTTTATCTTCTACTTATTGTTGTATATTTCTTAATGAAAGTAACTAAAATATAAAATTAGAACTTATTAGGTTAGATAAATAAACTTGTATGAAAAAAATTAAATAAACAATTTCTCATCATATCACCTCATTGAATATAAACATTGTAAGTAGTTTGATGTCACATGACCTAACTTGATACTTTGTGTGCCCTAAACTTTTTAATCTTCTTCTGGGTAATATATTGGTTGTTATGGTAATGAAAATGGTTCAAAGTAAAGTAAAAAAGCAAAAAAACTAAAAGAAAGAAGATGTTAAAGGGTTGGAAAGCTCTAGCTGTTCTGATGAGTAATTGTAATTGTCTGTTACAATCTGCAGTCATTCTATAAAAAAAGGTACTTTTGATTTAATTCATAATTTTCAATTTTTAATTTCAGTTTACACTTATGAACTTGCTAAAGTTAGTGTTAGGGTACAGTAAAAAAAAAGAGATAAATTTTACCCCCCAAAATTTTTGATATTCATTTAGGAGGTTCTAGAGGTTATGCAAATGTAAGCAAATTATGACTGTTGGAGCTTCCTGGCTCACTTCTGACTTTAAACATCTCCTTATGATAGCATGCATTTCATTAGGATCACGTAATTTGATTACATACATGTATCTGTACTTGTTTGCTGAAACAAAGTTTACAACAGAGAAATTTAGCTATACACACACACACACACGTTTCATTTAGTTTGAACTATTACCAAGTTATTAAATGTACACAAAGTAAGAATGGGTGGAATGATGGCCACACAACCACTTTGAGGTTGCCTGGTGTCAAAAACCACCAAGTGTTATAATGTTATCTTGCCCATTCCTACTTTGTTTCCTTACTTTTTGGAGCTCCCATTCCTACTTCCTTAATTTTTATTAAAAAAATTTTTACACTTGTTAATATCCATTCACCACATGAAATAACTAAGTGTCCTGAGGATATATTCCACTTTATAAAGGGGAAATGCTACAAATACAGTTTTGCCAAATTGATACTGTGGATAAATGTTACCCATCATCCATTTTGAGTGGGTTAAAAGTTATCACTAATTTCATGTTAAGCAAACATTTTTATGTATTTATTTATGGTTTTTGTGGACTTCATTGAAATATTTTTATCACAGTGTTGGTTATAAATTATTTTGAAAGACGGTAGTGCCCTGTCCTTCTTCGTAATGATTCTGAAAGTCTATAAATAATTATCTGTAGTTTATTATGTTGAGGAATGAACATGGTATATGGAGTATACTTTTATTGGACATAAGGAACAGAATGTAAGTATGCAAGTGAAAATAGAATGCCATTTAATGATTTAAATTTGAAATATTCCAGTGTGAGTATGTGAAAAATAGTATTTAAAAGTATTTTCACTGGAACTTACTGCTTGGAGAAAAATAGTAATTTTACTAATTTAATCATGAGTTATGGAATAGAATTTAAAAAACTAAAACACTTGTGTCTTCTGTATCAATTTACTATGAAAGCTAAGTACTTCTATATTAGTGAGTTCTTTTTTTGGTCAGCAAGAATTAGAAACAAAAATATAACTATAACAATTTGACAAAACTTGTGAAACTAATACATGGAAAACTATTCTCTTAACTTTTTGTGTGGCTTTATTCCTTAGGTTTTAATTTGAGTACATGCTGAATCAATTTACATATCCCATATTTCAGTGCTTGTAAATATAATATACATTAAAGAAAATTGTATTCAATTTGCAAGCTGATTTTTCCACACTTGTTATTTTTGTATTATTTTCAGTTTCTAGCCTTGGTAATAATTACAGACTGAAGCATTAACTTCTAATATTGACTACTGAATAGTAATGATAGTACATACTGTTTAGGTTATGATGTTTTTTCTTTAGAAATACACTGGGTAGTATTTTATTAAAAATACATAATTTTTGTTTATATTACTGTATTTAGTAACTTTGTATTAAAAGACTTTCGTTTTTGATTATCAGGTACCATTTCTCTTAGATTAACACCTTCAGTCTCTGTGTGGAATTCTTGTTATCGTAGCTGCAATTCTTCATGGGCTGCTACTAAAGCTATTTTGGACCAGGAATTAAAATCCATTAAAAATGCAGGAACATGGAAGGAGGAAAGAATTATTACTTCTCGTCAAGATGCTTTGATTAGTGTGGAAGGAAAAACTGAAAAAGTCTTGAATTTTTGTGCAAATAACTATTTAGGACTTTCAGTGAGTTTAAAATGTTTTAAGATAGCCACTATTGTTTTTATTTAACCCTTTTCAATATTCGTAGTGAATGTGGCGTTACCACATTTATTTTTACCTTGTACTAATTCAGAGGTTATAAGTTAATTTTTGAAATAAAGTAGAGGTTAATTTTATGCAGTAAGAATGCCACTTTGAGTAATCAGTTCACAGTATAAATGTAATGATGAAATAACAACTAGTAAACTTCCTGAACTTTTCACTCAGTTTGTAAATTTAATATCTCTTTAAATTATTTCTCATTTTGGTAACTAGTTCTTTTGTCTATGTTAAACATACAATGTACAAAGTTAAGTTTATAGCTGTAGAAATAGAATATGCAGTTTTATTACAAAAAACCAGATCTAATTTGTTTTCCTCAATTATTATTAAAACTATTTTTAAGAATGCTATTTCTATGTAAGAACTGCCCTTGAGTGCTAAGACTGAAATAGATTCACATCAAGTCATGAAATACAGTACATCTAAAAGTTTTTTATTTTTTGTGTGTGTGTGTATGAGTTCATTGTTCTAACTAAGGAAGTTTGAGGTTTTATACTGATTATTATCTATTCGATTTAGCTAATGATGAGAAATTGTTTCATAACATCATAACAAAACTTCAATTAAGACAATTTTAGTAGCTTGACAGAAAACATTGTCTGTTAAGTTTTATACTGTTTTTTATAACATCCAAAAAAGGGCAGTTTGTAGTTTGTCAGGGTTATGTCCAAAAAAAGAGAAATTATAAGGAACTGGTGTGATTTAATTTAATAACAGGACTTAAGCCAAATATTAAATTCCGATAAGATACTCTCCCTCCGCTCACAAGAATAGCTTTTTTCATTTTGTGCTGCCTTCTGTATGTGAACTTTTTCAGAAATGCATGCCACAAGCCTTCATCATCCATCTGTTGGAATCCAAAGATCCAAAATGTCTCTCATGCAAATCATCGTGCGTCACCTCTCCACCAATAGGAGAGCACTACTATCATGTGGCCCGTGTGACTCCCCTCTACGTTTGGCAGCTGTTGACTTCAGACGTTCTTTCTTACATTGTTGAGTTACCTTGAAATGTTTTTTTTATTTTGCATTTTTTATATTTTTCTTAACTTGTGGAGGTAATATTTTTATTAAAGCATTACTTCCTTGTATTTGCTGCTTTTTCCTGCTTATGAATTCCAAAGTTACAGTCACCACTTCTGGTACTTCGCCAGCATCTGATGCTGTATTTTCAGCCATGCGCATGGGCAACCCATTGGGGGATATATCATAGCTCATTTGCTGGGAGATTAAGCAGTATATGAGCCAACCTCTCTCACCTACTTCTGCCCCACTTCCTCCTGAGCCTTTCAAGCTGATCATTTGCCCCCCACCCCAGAGTTTGCCAAGCCTTCCCTTTCACTATCTGATGATTCAGCTCATCCGTCATCAGTCTTTTTAGACTTTATCTCTCAGGTAGATGATGTTTTGTCTCTTACATCTGTTTCCTATAACCCAAGACCTTTCCTCTAACATGAAACAACCTCCTGACCCTGTTTAGTCTTATCCCCCATCCCCTGATATTTGTGTGCATGTGGACCCATTTGCCTCTCAACTTGGGGAGGGCATTAGTATGCCTCATCCTCCACAGACTTCGGATCAGTCCACCCTTGCTTATCATTGGGCGGACTTTTTCCTTTATCAACTAACAGTTGTTGGGATCAGTTCTACCTGTCTGGGGGGATGAACCCAGATTACCCTGTCCAACTTACTCAAGCCGAATTTTTTGCCTTTGTCTCATCCTCACTACCCTGTTAAGGTAACTTTCCTCCTTTACCTTCTGTCAGAGGCTCTTCACAGGAACCCTGAGGAGTTTTCTTCTGAAATCCTCTCCATCCTTCTAAATTGGCTCATCTGTTGTCTTTGGCTCTTGCGCTTCAAATGTGGTTTGTTTGTTGTTGGAACCTCTTGGGCTGTGATGCGGTTTTGGCACAGACCCATCACCAGGCTCCTTATCTGAGGGACCTCTGCATGGCACCTTTTTTTGTCTGCATTATGTGTTTCACTTGGTTCCTGAGTCTTTGGAGTCACAGGTGGCCTCGGCCCATCAACATTCTGCCCTTACTAATTTGGTAGCTTGCTTGTCGCAGTCAAGGTCAAGCTTGGAACCGGTTCCTGTCCCAATGACCTTCCCCTTCCTGTCTCACCCTCCTGCAGTGCCATGGTTCGATGATTTACTGAACAACAGTAGTACCAGTGGCTATGTAGTCAGTTAGGGCCCAGTGGGGGCTCGTATCTTTAATTTAGTTCATCGTTGGGGACCTTTTCTCATTGATGTCTGGGTTCACAGAGGCTCTCGGAGAGATAAGTTATCCCCTTTCTCTCCCTTCTCGGGATCCCTCAACACGCCAGCATCCGTCAAAGATAGTTCAGAACATCATCGCACAAAAGACTATCGAACCAGCTCCACCAGGTTCACGGGGGTTTTACTCCCCCCTGTTTATGGTTCCAAAGAAGACCGGGGACTGGCATCCTGTCGTCAATTTCTTCCATCTCAATCAATATGTTCACATTCCTCGCTTTACCCTGGAGACATACCTTTCTCTTTGGTGGGTATTTTCTCCATTTTCCAATGCTTACCTATACATTCTTCAGTTTGTCCATCGGGGGGGGGGGGTTAGCAGTTTCTTTTTTCACCTTTCGGCCTACCCTCAGCAATTGATGCCATGGGGTTGCACTTTCATGTTTCTATGGACGACTGGCTTCTTCTTGCTCATTCTGATTGGGAATTGGCTTGTCACACTCAACAGGTCCTGGCTGAAGCTGCACAGGTGGGCTGGTTGATGAAATTGGAGAAGTCTTTCCTTTGTCCTACCCAATACCTTATCCATTTGTCCATTTGGGTGTTTTCTTCAACACCCATCTCAGTCGGGCCCAAACTTCTCCTCTCCAGCTCCATTCTATGGAACAGGCTGTTCTGAAAACCCTGTCTGTTCCCTCACACCCCATAAGGTTCTATAACTTTTGGGGATGTGGTCCTCCATGACCCCTCTCATACCCCCTGGGCAGGGCTGATGTGCGGTTTCTTCAGTGGGTCCTTCACAATCAATGGAACCTTGCCCCAGATCCCTTGGATACTTCCATATCCCTTCCCTCATCCCTTTTAGATGATCCCCATTGGTGGTTGAATAGGGCACATACATCAGTGGGGTCCACTTTCTCCTCCAGGGCCAGATTTACATCTGTTCATGGATACATCCCTTCAGGGCTGGGGTGCCTAGGTGAATCCGCAGGAGGTTTTGGGTCATTGGTCTGTGGAGGAGAGTTCTTTCACATCAATGTTCTCGAATTCATGGCTGTTCGTCTGGCTTTTTTTTTCTCTTGCAAGCTGCTGGCTGGTTATGATTCATTCCGACAATTCTACCATGGTGACTTATGTCAATCATCAAGGTGGCACCAGGTCCATATGCCTGTGTTTTCTCATTATGGATCTTCTTTATCAAACCCACATACATCAAATTTGTTTGATGGCATATCATGTTCTGGGTGCTTTCAATTGCGTCTTTCCCGACTGAATCCCATTTATCTCATGGTGTGGTCCCTGCATTCTGTCATTTTTGGGTGGTTCTGTTTGCATCAGGATATGCCCTATATCAATGCCTTTGCCATAATCTTCAATCACAAATTACCTCAGTTTGGGTCCTCGGTTCACCATCCTCGAGCATTGGCTGTTGATGCCTTCAGCCAGGATTGGTCTCAGCTGTTCCTTTATGTTTACCCTCCAATCTGTTTACTTCATCAGGTGGTCTCTCTCATCCATCCCACTCCATGCACGGTCCTTCTGATTGCTTCTTACTGGCCCGCTCAATCTTGGTTCCCTCAATTGCTCCAACTGCAGTTGGTCCCTCTCCTTCCTCTTCCCTTTTGTCCTAACCTGCTCCATCAACCCTAGTCAGCGGCATTCCATCCTGCACCATCCATCCTCCGTCTTCATGCCTGGCTTTTGTCAGGTCCTTGGCAAGGAGTTTTGGTTTTGCAGAGTAGCTTCACATTTACCCCATTCCATTTGTCTTTCTTCTTTAGCCAATCTATAAATGCAAGTGGAGCATTTATCACTCTTGGGCATTGACTCTGGGTTTTCAGGCTTCTAACTCAATGGTTGCCTGTATCTCTGAGTTTCTACATAGCTCTTGAGAGGGGGTTCTTCGGTTTCCTTGATTTCTTGTTTTGGGTGACATTATCCCATACCTTCTGTTTTTCCCATTTCTGTAGGGTCTTTGCTTCCTCTGCCCTTTCCATGTTGATCCATTCCTTCTGGCTCCATCAGCGACTGAGCCATCTGTAACTCATGGACTGGGACATTAACGTGGTCCTTCATGCCCTCACTTTACATCTGTTTGAATCTCTGTCTACATGTTCCCTGTTTCACCTCTCTTTGAAGAGGTATTTCCTCCTACTTTATCCAGATTGTGCTTTCCTTCTTAAGACCTCTGCGGCTCGAGAAGGTCAGTCCTCCTTTTCTCCTATCTGCCTATATCTCATCTCTACCCTCTGTCCTGTCCATACCCTCTGTTGCTATATTGCTTGCACAGCTTCCTTCTGGGGACCTTGTTCCTGCATTTTTATCACTTGGCAACCTTCCTCTTCCTATGATCTTTTGCCAGTTACCCTGACCAATTGGGTTCAACATTTGATTCAGTTTGCCTCTTCCTCCTTGTCTCCTTCCCAGCATGATCTCTTTCATGTTTCCTCACATCAAATCCATCACCTTACCTTCTCTCTTGCCTCTCGTTTCATCGTACATTGGAGGAGATTCTACAACCAGGCATGTGAACAACTCCGCACAAGTTCATCTCCCACCACCTACACAACATCTCTATTTCTGCTTCCTCGGGGTACTGCCTGTTGTCTGCAGCTATTAACAGACCTCGGCATGGCTGTGACACAAGGTAAGTCCTTACTAATGCTTTCCTTTCTTTCAGGGGCCAATGCTTCAGATTCATTTTGGATCTGGCTCTGTGGCGAGTGGTGCCTGACCAGGTATTGTGTCTGTACTTAGAATGGACTCCACTTAGATGGCTATAACCATTCAGAGGCATCTTACTATCAAATCTGCATTGTAAGCCATGTTGATTCTTATACATTTTCCATGGCTATGTATGCTCACCCTTGAGATAGAGTGTTTACAAGATTACTAGAGTGTAAATTCCTTGTGATAATTGTGTCATAATATGCCCGTCCCGGACTGTACCATCCACAGAACAGCATGGGTAAAGCAGAAGTGAATTGCTGCCTATCCCTGCCATGCCTAGATTGAATAAATTAGTGTGGTCTGCTTTTAAAAATAGGGTTTCATGATCACCCATTGCACTGTCTTCAAGTATTGCAGTCCCTCTGGACACTCCACCACACTTTTCCCCTTTTTTCCAGTGGAGTATGGGAGTCCTTACCACTTACCAGTTCCAAGCTGGTGGGGTGGTTGACCATGGAGGCAAAAAATGGCTATAACCATTCAGTTCAGAGTAGGGCAGTGGTGTTCTGCCAGTGTAGATGGATTTGCAAGATCCTCCTAATGAGTAACTAATTCCAGAGTTGAGATGCCCAAATGTAGTTCACCCCTCCAATTGGGTGCCTTCCTCCTACCCTAGCGTAGATGTCGTTACTAGTGAGTGAGGTTTTGGAGATCGAGTGAACCAATCGCATAAGTCCTCACACAGGTTTCGGGTTATCCATCTTCCCCTCTCAACTTGTCTTCTGTGTTGTGGGTCGCAGAAGCTCTAGGTATCTGTTTCCGCTTCTGTCCTGGATTTTCCCTCATTGGGTTAAGCGGTTGTTTCCGACTTGGGGTTGTTTCAGGCTGGATTCATGGTGATGGGGTTTGAATGCATGCAATGGACTTCTCTTGGATTCCGATTGGCACATTCCTGGATCCCTGGCATTAGGCTACCATGTGAGTTCCTGGAGTTGAATGGTAGGTTCCCTCTTGACTTTGGGACTTGAGGTGACAGCAGTATGATCCTCATCCTACGCTTGCGAGGATGTCGGTACCCATCGAATGAGGTTTTGGATGTAGTTGAATTATCGAGTACGGTCTGCGTGGCCTTGCCACTTTACACCATAGGACACAGCCTCACTTGCCCACTTTCCATAGTGAGATTGAGTGATTCTAATTTCTGTTTAAGATCACATTGCTAAACTATCCTCACCTATGCAGATGTGCTCCCTTCATGTTCTCCCATTTCTGGTCCTCCTGATCATGTTGATGTTCCTGATGAAGAGATACCTGGCCCATATGTGGTGCAATGCCCCTTTATCATCTGATCTGTTACCCTCATTTTGGGGGTGTCCTCCTCCGGGTGCTTTTGAGGGATATGCCTGTGCTTTCCTTGCACCTGTCCCTCTTATAAACAGACGGAGAGTATGTTATCGGAAGTTATAATTTTCCTAAATGAAAATGTATTTCCAATAGGTACTTCCCTCCACTCACACTTACCACCCACCCGTCCTCTCCACAGTATTCTGGTGCTTGCATCTTCTGCCAGACTTCAAAGTGATAGTTCAGTAGTGGCATGTAGAGGGAGTCACATGCATCACGTGATAGTAGTGCTCTCCTATTAGTGGAGAGGTGATGCATGATGATTTGCATGAGAGATTTGTTGTAACTTTGGATTACAACAGAGGGATGATGAAGGTTTGCGACATGTGTTTCTGAAAAGTTTGCATACAAAGGGCAGCACAAAATGAGAAATGCTAATCTTGTGAGAGGAGGGAAGTAACTATCAGAAATACATTTTCATTTAGGAAAATTATAACTTTTAAAGAAACATTTTACAGTAATAAACCTGGAACTCACCTGTTTGTGTAATTTTTCTGAAGTAGAATACATATGTGAATAAATAGTCAGGTTATAATTTATTGTATGTAAAGCTTGAAATAAATACCCACATGTTCATAATTGTGAGGAAAATATTGGTAAAGAAATCTTACAGGTACAGTTTGATTGAAAGGTTAGGATTAGAGATAATGAAGCTTAATGGTTGTTTTAAACTTAATGCCTATACTTTGGACTGATCAATCAAAAATATTTCAATATTCATATTGAAATGCATTTTTAGTTTTTTTATTGTATTACTAAGCATTTTATGGTACAATCTAAGACTGTTAGACTAATGGTGGATGAAATTAGTTTTAAATCTGCTGATCTCAGTAAGAAAGTGTTAAATAACCATACTTCATTAATGACATAAGTATGAATTGTTTTTTGTAGTATTCCATTTCATTTTTTCTAATTATGTTCATGTCTTCTACAATATTATGTAGCTGTAATCGTTATGGCTAATTGAAAACTTGGTTTATTCAACAGAGTCATCCAGCTGTTGTGGAAGCAGGCAAAAAAGCTTTAGACAAATATGGGGCAGGACTCAGTTCTGTTCGATTTATTTGTGGAACACAGGTAATTTAACTTGCATTATTGTATATATCTGGTCTCTAAAGAGACATTTTTGATATACCCTTCAAAACAATCCAAAGGATAGTTTTAACTGAAAAGGAGTTATTGTGGAACTGAATGTTATTTAGTGATGTAAAATGGGTGAACCATATGCTTTGATGTTACTTTTTTATGTAAATTATGTTAGTCTATTTCAATAATGCTGATTCTTATAATAGAACATTAATTAATCATCCTTCAATTTACAGCAAGAAATTGTTTTTTCTACTAACTGTCAGATATATAATAAACCAGAACTGAACTTTATTCAAGCACTAAGCTTATTTGTTGACAATGTTTTACACTTAAAACTCCATGTTAGAAATACAAGTATCTTCCATACGTGTAATAATGGATATACAGTGTGTTATTTGTTAGACATTAAAATGTAAATCCTTTTAAACCACTTGATGTCTGATAAATTTGTGCTAAGTACCAAAATAAGAATTTGCTTTTCACTTTTACAGCTCACCTATTTATCATCACAAACATACAAATATAATCAACTGAACAGAGTGGTATGCATAACTTTGAGAGCTCAATCCTGTTGAATAAACACAATATTTAAATAGCACAAGTTTTATCCATTGTTTCAATATATGATTTGTGTTGCTAGTGGTTGAGTTGCTGTAAATTATCAAGTGACTGTCATGTCTATGTGTTATTGGTTCCAGTAAATTCATCCAAATGAGGATGTTTTCTTCAGACTGTCTTATTTGTATTATTTTACTGCTATTATATTTTGGTGTAGAAGTCATAACCTATCTTCACTTATAATGAACATGCATTGCCTCACATTGGGTGATCATATTAGGAAACCATAATATTAACGTGAAACAAAATTGGTGAATATGCTATGCCGAAATGTTTCCGAGTTTGATTGTATGTAGATCATTGACTTATAGTATATTAGTATACCAGTCTCTGTGTTTATAACATCTAGAATGTTTTATGCAGTTGGAAGTGTGTGAGTTTTCTGCCAATTGTAGAGCAGTTGTTCGCAAACTTTTTTAACTGACAACACCCTAACCCACTTACCCTGATTTGCACAACACCTCTGTTAACACATACATTTTTTTGTAGTTATTTGTGGTCTTAATTATTCTTAATTTGGTGAAACGCTCACAACATCCCTAGTAACTTGCTGTGATACACAATTTGGAAACCATTGTTGTACATGGTGTATTTCTTGTTAAATGTCGTTTAAGCAATGACTACTGGAAAAGCTAGTCCATACTAAATGTGATGTTGTGACTGTAGTTTATTTATAGATTGAAATAGACAATAGAAAACAAACTCTGACCAGTCAGACCAAGTGAAAATTTCTACTGTCAGGCAGTGTGGTAGGAGAAAACTGAATGCTAATGTTAGAAATGTACAAAAGAATTTATGAATACAGTATAAAAGCACCACCTCCAAGGTTAACCCTTCAAGAAGCTGACTATGGCAAAAAAAAGTGATCTTATGTTTTCTGCTCATTCTTTATACATACTTACTTTTTAATAATAAAAACTCTCTTACACTGGTGATTTAAGTTATACCAAATTTCAAATGCTAAATGTGTCTGCTTCCCTGTAAACCATTGTTGTGTACAAACATACACTGTACTTTGATAATACAGTAAACTTCTCGTTGTTGACACAGTAGTTATGTATAATGTCTCCTACATCTTGGAAAATTGGTGCTTTTATCATTTAATCTGAATCCTCCTTTAACTACTATATGGTTATAGTTAAGGAGAATAAAGTGTTCATTGTTTAATTAATACAGTATTTGACTGGTCAAGAAGATTGAATATATGTAAAAGTGCTTGTACACAGAAAAAAGTTCTAGTTTGATCTCTGGCCTACACTTTTATAACAGGAGGTTGTTCTGAAGGCTAGTTATCTTCTATTAAGTAATTTCCTCCATTGCAAATACTAGATTATATATATAAACATTCCAACCAAACTATGAAAATGAAGACTCCAGATTTAATTAATAAAACCATATTTAAATATATGTAATTGTAATCTTGACCGAGTGCATAATGTGTGAGGCTCTAAGAAATAACAGCTAATAACGTTAAAAATAATGATGTAAAAGAACTATCATAAAGAATAAAATAGGGTTTTAGAAAAATTAAACACCCAGTAGTTACAAATAATGAATAAAATTCATTGTGTTGTGTTGTCCAAAAGCTTAAAACAAAAATCTAAAACTTAAGAAACAAGCCCTTGACAACAGCAGATTTTGATTATTTTCTGTTCTGAAATGATAAGTTCCAAATTCACATACTTTTTGGGTTCAAGCACATAAATTGTCTTATTTTTTGAGGCTGAAAATATGTAAAAAACTAGAATGAGCCTGAATTAGATGTTCACTGCACCCTTGTAATCCTTTCAGCATGAGCTCGATCCCATGGACTGATCTCATAACCATTTTGTACTTGTTACAGTTTTCATGCTATAAATTTTAAATTATTAAGTGTATCTTCACAAATTTTTGCAGATTTTCAGTAAACATTACAAGGCTTTTGTACGCAAAATATCAGATTTTTGTATTAAGTTGTAAGATTTTTTAAGTAATGTTTTTCTCATGCCTTTTTTTTCTTTTCTAATGTTGAATATCTAACATGCAAAGTAATTTTGATTTTAAGATTAAAAATATGTTTATGCATCAGAAAATTATCAAAGTTTTTTTAAGAAAAAACTTTCTATTTTATTTGTTAATTTCACTATCGATTCTCCGTATTGGTTTGGTTGATTTGACCAACCTCCTAACCACCATAAAAAATTAGGAAATAAATACAAATTATGCATTTTTATTGTTCTAGAATGACTACAAGTTATAACACAAAAACACAAATGTTTAGCCTAAATAGCTTAAATCTCATAAAATTATACATTTATTATTTTTATTATATTGACATTTCAGCCATGCTTGACTAACATTACAGTAGTTGCAATGATGTGGCACGCGTGCACTCATGTTACCGTATCCAAGAATATAAAACTGGCCTTTACAAAGTGACCTGTCTTGGCTGTGTTTTAGTGGACTAGTATTTTACATTAGTATTTTACAGTCACATTTCAGTTATATATTTGTGTACGTTATTACTATTTACAAATAAGTTCTTAAACTTATTTTTCTTAAAACATAGAACAATAAATAAAGAAGTATAGCAAGCAATTATCTCTTCTAGTTATGAACTTTGTACTCATTTGATGCTTGCCATAGGTTGCTAAGCCTTTTCAAATTTCACACATGGAGGATGTGAAAGGAAATACATTTTTTTAGGTTTTATATATGTATTTTGAAATAACCAAAAATCATAAATTACGATATCAGTACCATAGAATTCCACTATAACTTATCAAGCTTAGTAACTAATCTGAATTTGGGTCTGTGAAATTTTGAGCTCACTAAAGTCTTACCTTATCGCTTGGAATCTACCATGAAAAGAAAGAGTTTCCTGCCCAAGTACTTCAAAGATGCTGAGAAAACCACTATCAGGACATTCTCAGCTTTTGATTTGTTACTCACACATCATAGACAGAAGTAGGTGAATGCAAGCATTTCCAAAAATGGAAAGAGGTGGGTGGGGCCACTGTGTTTGATTCAGTAAATGTAGTGATATATCAGCAAATAGAAAAGATAGGAGGTTCTTATTTTATATGACAACTTGTCAGTATCGGTAATTTGAGTTCCTAATTCGTAAGAAACTATAGACTTTGTATTTGGAAATGT